CGGAGGGGAGTGTTACAAGAACTTGATTTTATCAACTGAGTTGATGATGTAAATAGGTCACCGTAAAGATTTTCTACAGTTGACAAATGTTGAGTCGCTCTGGCGATGGGCTAACGCTTGAAAAACTCTTTACGGTGGCTAGTTTACATTATCAACTGTGTTGACAAAACCATTTTATCTTGCTTTATCACTTGCTCGCATTTAATTGTTAGGCGTGGGAGAGAAGAGAAGGATGGAAGTGTAATCTTGCACAAAACTGCCATAAAAGTAACTTGGTGATTAAACCAGAGAAAGGAAAAGCCGTCATGTGGTATAACCACCAGCTGGACAAAAACACAGGTACGTAATATGAACGTTGTTCAATTTTCATCCCTTCACAAAAAGCGATTTTTACCACTAATAACTTCTCTTTGCAATATCAATGCATTATCCAGCTAATGGGTTGTAGGAATTTTGACACCTGCAAGGGTTCCAATTAGAGCAGGTTACCGCTGGTCTATCGCTGGCCTATAAGTCTTATTACCGCAGTCTGTTTAGCCTGGGCGCTGGCTCTCGTGTCAGGGTTTTGCCGCGCGGCCCTCTTTGCGGCAGTCGCTTATGGAAAATAGTTATTGAACTGTTGCACTTGTCAGCCAGGGGGGAGGGGTGTTCCTTTAATATATACCAAATTATCCTTGCTGATTAACAAGGAAATATGGAGTATTAAAAGGAGAAATCACTTCCCGTGTTAACGCTCAAATGCATTACTAATAAACAAACGAGTTCTAGAATAGTTGCATACTCACGGTCTACCTGTAGTTTCCACTCTCAATCATCTTAATCAAAGACCTCAAGTAAAAGAGTTAATTTTCATATTCTGCGGGAAAATAAAATGCAGGGAAAAAGTTGTTGTGATTAAAATGTTTTCAGGGTGTCGACGATCGGACAACTTAACGATACAAGCTCGGAATATGCGTCCACTGGAAAACAAAATAATTTGTGGAATCGCATGACATTTCTACACAAACATCCTGATAATCTTAAGAAGGTTGAAATAACTTTCCAGTGGAAATTCTTCGAAAAATTATTCACTTCCGGGCATTTAGCCCGGTTATGAACAGCCCGGCTGCTAAGCGCTTAGACATCGTGTTTATCTACATCTAGGACTAAAGTGCATTCCGCATTTCATCTTCGCCAAAGTCCGACCAAGAAAATTCTGAGTCCCGAAATTTTCTCTTTCTCTGCTGATCTTATGCCTTTAAAAAGGCAGGCATTTGAGTAACATTGAGCACAACCTTTTAAAGTTCAACTCTAATTAAATACACCTGAATATCAAATTTTTCAATCGGAATAAATTGTGAAGCGCGCAGCTGTGGAAACGTTTCTGCCATTTATTCAAATTATATTTCCATCTATGTACTCACCTTGGTGCTGAGTGAGCGTAGGTTGAGTCATTAAAATGATTTCGACATTCGTAAATCCTTCCAGCGTACTATGTAAAGTGTCTCGCCAAAGACAAAATTTTCCTGGCCCGTCATGCTTTCCAAAGCGAAGCTAAACCCTTTATAACAAAACCTTCATAATAACTGAAGCTAAAACCTTCATAACAACTGATGGCAAAATTTCCAACTAAGGCCCTTTTGTGAGCATTGCCCGCAATAATTCAGAGATAAACAGCTGTTTAGAGCACTTGGTTATGTCACATTCAACCTTTTGGAAGCTATGTTGTTCTTGTCGCGTGACAATTCTCACGGTCAAGACTGGAACTAGATATCTCTACTAGCTAGGCAGGGGTAAGGTAGTAACATTGGCGCACAAAAAAACCTATGCCCCTTTAATTTAATACTGATCGAGATTGCGTCGAAGTCAACGAAAATTTTTGGTGTTACGCAACTAAACACAGGCTTCTTTCAATATTTGTTTCCTCCAGTATTTATTTCTTGATTGCAGGTTGGCTTAGTGATTTGGATCAGTTGGCACAACATGGCGGCTGTGACGTAATAAAAGGTACAAAGTGGGTGGCAAACCTCTGGTTGACACTCGTAGGAAAGCAAGGTACTGAGGAACCATTCAAGGGATGGATTGATTATGGAAAAGACGAGACTAAATACAAACCTGGCACAGATTGGAAAGGAGATCTAGTGAAACTAGGCAACGAGGAAGAAAGCAGTGACGAGAAAAAGGAAGAAACTGAACAGAAGAAAAGTGAAATTAAGGATGAGGAGAAAACAAAAGAGGAGAAAGAAAAAGCTATAAAGGAGGCCAAAGAGAGCGGAGACGGTTCATATGATGTGAAACTGGAACTCTAAATGGGAATCTTTATTTAACCCGTTTATCTCTCTAAAGAAATTAATTGAGAAAAATTTCCTAACAATTTAAATTAGGACACGATTTTAATGGGCGAGGACAATTAGCTACTTTAAAGAATACGTTTTACATGGAAAGCAAATTCGGGGTAACCTTGACATGTTCACTGACTCTACTCTAAGACATTTTCACAAGTTTAAGCCATTTATTCCACAAAATGACATTTACCTAGACATAACTGAGACAAAAGTGATCGCGTATCCAGACCTTCCACGGCCAAGCGATTCATTTCAGTTACAGATACACAATAGGATCTGGGTGCGAGGTTACCGTTAAGTCAAAAGAGACAAAAACCCTCTACGTTAAGTTGTTTTTTGTTAGTATTACCGTTTTTGAATAAATCATTGTAGTTCCTTAGTTGCATGGCATCATTTCATGTTTGTGACCATGGCCACTGTGAACACTTTCTTTTAGATCCACTCGAACTGACTTAGGTAGAGGATGGGAACAACCTTGCTCCAAGGGCCTTTTCCCTGAAAATTGGCGAAAGCCTTGAGAGTGAGGTTGAAGATGGGAATACATCATAAAGATGAACGGAAACCAGGAAATAGGAAAATTCTTTTATCCAAACTCCCAAATGAACTACTTCCAGTTTCGGAGAGAACACTTGACTTGAAGATTGAAGATTCTGAACAAAAGATGATGTAAGATAACGCTAAGAAAAGAGGTTCATTAGATCATACTTTCCCCTATTTCAAAAGTAGTGACTCCAGCTGAAGCTTTAAACGAAAAAAGGAAAAACCTGTTTTCCATACAATAAATCTTTTACTTCAGAACATACCGACTAAATCTAAATCTTATTTTGCAAAACTAACAGACTAGTATGTCATATTATACATCATGTAATGTCCTCTGAGGAGGACACCATTTTCACGCATGCGCAAGATTGGCGTGACATGCAATAAGAACACAGAGTGAAAATGTTTACGACAGGACCAATCTTTCCTGTAATTAAAGGAAATTGTTTTCTAATCATATTCAATATCTTCATCGAACTCCAAATTCAAACTGTTGAATTGTGGAACGTAAGGCCTCATTGAGCCTGTATTCGGTCGCGCGGCAAGGATGTACAACGCGTGATTTAACACAAAGTCTTTCCACTTAACCGTGGCAAACCGCTGATACAACGAGTGCTCATCTTCATTGTCTATTTTGACATATTCAGTCCCAAGCCAGTCCCAAATCGGGACCTCCTCTTCTCGTCGATGTATCAAAGAGAGGTACCAGTTCTTAAAGACCTCTCGAGATAAATCTTTCCTGATTTCTCCTTCTCCTTCCATATCGTATTCTTTGAAAAATCGTTTAAGTTTGTAAATTTCCTGTCTTGTAAGCAAAGATGGGAGTGTTCTCTGTCGAAAAATAGGGGAAAACTGAAAGCATCAGTTCCACGTCCGTAGGCACTGAATGCAGAGAGATAATACGGAGGGTAAAAGAAAAATGCCAAGTCCACATACGAGAAAGTTACAAATTTGAATCGCTCATCTCAGTTTTTGGCGGAATGTTAGTTATTTAAAACATCATAATTCCCTTAAAAGCTTTTTAATTGTCCAGAAACTAGTGGCCTGCTTTTGAACAGGAAGATCAGTCTTGCCAAGGAAAAACTCTTACCATCTCCACTACAAAGGAAAACTTATCAAGGACGCAATTCTAAAGAGGACCTTGCAACGGATATATAGCTTCATCTCTGGGAGAAATCCCGAAGCCTGATTTTTCAGGCTTTTTTTGCTGCATCTTCATTTCACTATTGAGGTTAATTTCGTTACTTGAGATTAGTTTTGGCCACCTACAACAGAACGTTACCTGACCCAACAAGAGGAAATTTGAGTGGGGTGAAGTGCATTTTTAAAAATCAACCTCGTACCCATACTCTATCTCCATCGCGCCCTTCACTCTCTCGTAAGAGGCCGAGACGAACAGGGAACCTGAGAACGACATTAATCACAGATCACAGAATTATAAGTACCTTTCTCCGTTCACTCAACTTCCTCACGCACATAGGAATCACAAACTCCCACCAGTCGATAAGATCATTGTTGTTCCTATCCATGTCGTCAAATATCCGCTCCTCGATTATCACTCGATAACCAGGCATTTCCATGTCCATTAACTTTCTGTATTTCTCCTTCTGGTATGAAAGGTACTCTTCTTTGTTTATAAAAGAATCTAAGTGGAATTAATAGGAAACATAGTTAAACATGCTAATGGAATTGCCGTCGTTTCGCCTACGATTATAACATTTTACGTCTTTTCGTCAATGTCTAGGTCAGTTCACTGACGCTAGTTTCGAACTCCCCTTCCACTTTTCGGTCGATTAGAAGTCGAACAAGTTACGCCGAACCAGGAATCATGAAACATTTCGTAATACGTTGGCGAAACAACCTTTGAGACGTTAAAGAAATACCCTGAGACGTTGGCGAAACGACCCAAGAGGTTAGCCAAACTGGTCGTTGAGGAAACGAAACGTAGGCGAAACGACTAATTACCCTCTGAAGTAACATTTTAGTTACGTTAGTCTTGGCTCACTTCAATATTTCTTACCGACCTTGATTGGTGTCCATTAGATCAAATGTTTCCATTATATCGATCTTTTCGTTGTCAGATAAAAGATCGAATAAATTTTCCTGCAATAAAATTCAATAGAATAAGATTATTTCATCCCTGCTAAGAGCCCTTTGACTCCCAGGAGTGATTAACATGTAACTTCTCCCTATAATATCCATACCTAATCCAGGAAAGAGATACTGAGAATTCTCAAACTTATCAGGTACAGGTGTTTGTCTTGATCTAACACCAAATTCTCATAACTAAGTTACAGGGAAATGCGTAGCAGCCAGAGGGGAGAATTAACAATCAGATCTTGGGAGTTAAAGGATTAAAAGTTTCAAGCTGAGAATGTAACTTTTACTCGTTTAGACTCTCACCAGTCTTAGTTAATCAAGAGAGGAAAATGAAAAAAATGGATGAGAAATAGACGATCTCTCACTATCTCATCGCACATGTGCAAAGGGTGACTATTGTATGTAGTTCACGTTGGTGGGGACGCTCTTCAAATGAACGTCCCGACAAAAGAAACATAAGTACAGTCGAACCTGTACTGAGTGGCACCGTAATAAGCCATCACCCTGTATTAAGCGGTAAGTTACCAAAGTCCCGAATTTGTTTCTCCCCAAATCACTGTAATTTTCACCTCTATTAAGCGGTCAAGGTCTCCCTATACTGGGTCCCCATGACCTGTTTCTATTATCCTCCGCCCGTTTTTAACGGTCACCGAAAGCGGGACCAATTAAATAAAACTAGGCATAATCTTAAACGCAATTTTTAATCCATTTTTCTCTCCCAAAGTCCAATTTAGTAGTATTTTCGAGCGAGATTATGTACATTGAGAGGTCAATTATGGCATAAAATGGCGTTGTTTATCGGGGTCCAGTTCAAACGCCTAATCTTTGGAACCTGTATTAAGCGGTAAATCTGTACTAAGCGGTCACCCCGCCAATCCCTGTGGGAGACCTGGTTCAACTGTAATCATGTTTGGATGTTGGGAGAACACTCAAAAAGCTTGTAAATCACTCGCCTCTGGCTCGTGGTTTACAAACTTTTCTCATATTTTCCCAAGTGGGTTTTCACGTGGGTTATTACACCGGTAAACCGATAGAAAATACGGTCTATTTCTTAAATACCTCATGTTGCCATATGCAAATATTTATTATCTAATAAATATAAAACTACGGGTCGTATTGACGAGATCTCACGCTATGAACCTCAACTTACGCAATTACAGCAACTCCAGCCGATTTCTGAATTTGCAAGCGTCAGAGTTTCAGCTGCCCCATCCCCTGAAAGATGCCCTCGCTTAGCAAGACAGTTAGTGTGATAAACCCTTGGGCAGATACGGCAACGATTAAGAGGGCTTTCTTCAACGGAGGATGAGTGGCAAAAGTGGCAGTGTGTTTCCCATTCTGTCTGAAGAAAAAGTCGAATACAAAATAAGCTGACGTAAGTATGTTCGAGATGGAAGGGAAAAACAGAGAGAAAGGGAGGAAACAAGGATGAAAGACAGATGAACGGACGAGCACACGAACGCACGAGCACACGAACGCACGAGCACATGAACGCACGAGCACCCGAACTCCCGAAAGCCCGAACACGCGAATGAAGGCACGCAAACCCCTGCAAACGAATGGTTTCACTTACAATTAGCATATCGTTGTACGAAAATTCCCCACTGGACACCTTCGTTGTTTTTGATGACGTGGAAGTTCTTCGAGTGAACCGAATGGCATCTGTTATCGATTTAAGACGCCCCCGTCCTGTGTCTTGAGTTGAGGGAATTCTTTCACGGCTGACTAAGTCTCTCAACGCATTCCATGCAACACTTGTGTCCTTAACAACTAGTGTATCACTAACGCTGACCCTTAAGGAGACAGAAAATTAAAAAAGAAATTCGTAGATTTTCAACCAGACTTAAATAGCGGTAATCTAATTCCGTTAATCCCGTCTTCAATGCAGTTAGGAAGAGAGCACGGTCATAGGTTCGACACTCGTTCATGCCTGAACATTATTCTAGGCATTTTTCAGCCAGTGGTGTGGACAGGCTCAATTTTCGCCGCTCTATCGTGTCCGGTCTTTGCTCTTCCCCGAGTAGGTGGGTTCGGGGGAAGGAGCGTGGGCTCATATTCCCGAACAGTGGTTAGTAATCGAGCCAAGGGAGGGGAGCACTTCTTAATAATAAGCTAATAGGGTTGTGCCACTGGATGGGGTTGCGTTTTTACGACTGGATTGACTATAATGGAACTGCATTTTCCATAGAGAGTTACTAGAATGTGGTCCCACATTTTCAGGATTTTGCAGGTAAGAAATTCCAGGTAAGGCTTTATAAGGTAGATTTATAAAATGAAGGTAAACTATTTGTGATCGTGAAAACTTCGTTTCACCAAAAATGTACTAAAATGGGGTCTACGATTGGCCATAAGATTGACTTAAGTGGGGTAGGGGTTTTGAGAGGCCAGCGGCACGTACCCTATCAATATTGACCCAAGTACCTCCCCCCCCCCCTTGTTTTAACGTTCAGGATCTTTTTCAATAATTTCTTTGTTTTAATTTCAAAGTAGACATAATGTGTTGTTTCATTCAACTCAATTCAAAGTTGTCTGAGTCAAATCAGCCAGCTGGTGTTTCTGGTCATTCACAATGAACCTGACAGCACAACTAATTAAATAAATATTATTTTGACCTTTAGATGGTGAACAAGTTAAGAAATGGTCCTCGATGAGCTGCTATTAAAGAAATTGCGAAAAGAAACCGAACAAAATACAGGCTTAGACAGGATTCGAACCCGTGCCTCCAAATACTTGTTACGCGCTACGACCAACTGAGCTACGAAACCACTCACTGGAAGCGAGGAGAAAGCCGGTAACAGTTGCTAGGTGATCAATGATTTCAGAGAAAGGAAAAAAATAATAAATTTACATCACTTAGCAACAAGTAAAAACTCGATCACTTTTTCAACCCAAACATGTTAGAAGAATCGCAGTTAAATTCAAAACATCAATACATTAACGAGGTATAATCGTCTCTCTCTGCATTCATGACCAAGCTAGGTAACTTATTCACCACTAAAAAATTAGGAGATCTCGTACTGGCCCAATCTATCTAAACTGTTGGATGCGATTAGCTCAGTACGACGACATTAAAAGCAAAATCAAAACGCATATTTTTTAATGCTGATATTCATAATTACATTGAATTTTAGCATAACGACTAAATATATGACAGTTGATCCTTCAAGTAAAAATATCAAACCTATTCCTCTATCCTCACCTGCGTACAAACTTTAGAACATCCTTCTGGGAGCTTGCGGTGTTTGGTGGTGGCGATTCATCACCAGAAGCTAGTCTCCCTACGGGTCTACATCCAAACACAGTTGATTTCCTGCGAAATTTCCGTTTAACTACCTCTTCTATTTGCTCCGATGCTTTTGTCCTGTTTGCTTGTGTTTCTTTCATTTTTGCTTTAAAAACACTTGCTGCTTTGACCGTGGCGATTGCTCTTTCAGGCTGGATATTTTGCCCTCGATGAGTGTTGACAATGTTTCCCATTTTACATTTTAGGCTTACATGTGCTTAATCAGTAAGTTCGGATGAGTGCTCTTTCCATGCACGCTTTAATTAGCGGCTTACACAAGCAATTAACTTTACGCCACAATAGACGTGATTAACCACAATTGTCCTTAAGTATTTATTGGATTTTTAGTACATCTCGTACATGGAAATGAATTGAGCTATCACCTGCGTTTGTTTATTCTTCGAAACGAAATCACTTCTAGTTATCCATGCATGAAAAGTGTACGAGTGTTTTTTGAGATCAAGTATGTGATGTTCACAACTTTCACGAGCGCCGCATAGCTTAGAGAAATTAGACACAGATTACAGCTTTAAATTCTTAAATACATGAATCTCTCAGTTTAACGAAGGAAATATTCAAAGCGTGCATGAAATCAATCAAATTTTAAAGTCTCCTATATCCAAGCCCTATTTAGAAGATAATAATCGTCATAGATTTGGCTTGAAAATAGATCTTACTCAAGGTAGGGCAAGGTATGTCGTTCAACAACGCTTCGAATGCGTTGGTCGAACGTCGCACAGCACTAGCAGGTAAGAACGAACAATGTCTTTACATAGACTACCCTGCTTGAACAACTAAAAATAATTTTCTCTCACTAAGTTTGTAGTTGTAACCGACCTACCCAATCTTTCAGCGTCGGCCCAAAGAACTAAAATGAAGATCTTGCCCTTCAACTCTACCGCAACAAATTATTGTGTTATTACCTAAGCAAACGGAGAAAAGTTTGTGCAGCTTCAAGGACTCAATCTCAAGTAACCGACAGTTCACAGCAAGATGAATTTCCGCTTGCGGAAGCAAAAAGAATTCCTCGCGCGTGCAAAATTTCTAGGCTGTACTGTAAACTTCACAGCAAGTTTATATCTGCGCAACAAAGGCAATTTTAATTGGTTATCTTACACTTTTTTCAGATTGGTCAACCGCTGTTTACATTCAACAATTGCAAGTCGGATAAACTAGTTTGGCCAGGTGCAGATATGAATCCATTCTCCGATAAGAGAGATCTTTAAATTCTAGGACAAGTTTGACTGCGAGTACGAATTTTGACTTCAAGTTTCCAGCGAATTGCTAAGAAAATAAATACCTCGTGAAGTTTCACTGTGAAGGCTATGAGCAATTATAAGTCTGTACAGTTATTGTTGATTGAAAGAATTGAGCTTTGTCCAGAGAAAACTTGTACTCCTGCAAAATTGTCGCAATCTTGTATTTACCACTGCCATTTTCGAAAACTCGTTCCATCGTGTTGACTTCTGTTGTGTTTTTCTCGCCCAAAATAAAGAGGTTTGCGCGCGCCTTTCATTACGATGTTTGAACATTTCGAAATCTTTACATTTCTAATCTATACTAAATTAAATTTACAATATCTTCTCTTTTACGATGAGGTACTGAAATGTTTCGGTCACCAGCTTAAAGCAAGGTCCTTTAGAAAAGTCCGTTCTGTATATAAGATCTTTCTTTGGACAATTACTATCCTAACGTATGAAAAAAAATGCATTGCGTTTACTTACTGTCTATATTTTTCACGTGTGATTAGCACGCCAACATAGAATAAGTCAATACAATGTTTAAAGACGACATTTTACTGTGGGAATGGTCTCAAATCTCCGCATTGTTCTTTCACTCGAAAACTTGAATCGGAGACCCTTCGGCATCTCCTCGAAGTACCTTGAGGTGCTACGGACGTAGACCCGACGTTGTACCGAATGCACGTGTTATCGCTCAACTTGACATCGCTGGAGGAAAGTTGTCCGGAATGAAGACTCTTTACTTAGGATAATAAACGACGGTGTTCTCTGTTTTACCACAAACCTAACCATCGGGAAAACCAAAGAAAAATTACTGAGGTGATTAACCAAAAAGAGAGATAAAATATCCTCTTTGGAAATAAAAGAGACCTTCCATAAAAAGAGCCTATAATCCAAAAATCTTCCTTCTTGCAAAAAGCCCTGTTAACCTCTTTTGAAAATTCTTGATGAAAAAAAGCGGCGAAGGCATTGTATTTGTTATTGCGGGAAGGCATTTTTTCCATGGGGTATTGAAACTGGAATAAATCCATTACCATGAGTTTCCTGAATCGCTAGCTAACTTAAATGTTTTCCTCTTTTTTAACCTGTATTACAGACATGCTTTCCATATGTACAGCCAAGATTTAGCAGTATTCTAGTGTTTTTTAGCTCTGATACCCGGCAAACGTGAATGATACATCTTGTATGACTCACCTCGAGTCCGATAGTATATCTTTCAGACAGCTACTATTTTTCACCAAACAAAGTTTTTCTCTGACCGAGTCCTCAAAATAAACCTGGGAAGAGTTATCACCAGTTTGGTTATTAGAGTATGATCAAAAAATACAGGCTTGCAATTTTTGCAAAGTAACTCCATAGAAAATTAAGGCTTTGCAGAAAGTCTGACGCAAGCAGAACTGTTTTTCTCGGAAATGAACGGCGTCACTTAGGGGAAGAGGTGCACTTCCCAACAACCGATTAGTCATAGTTAGCCACATAGCCAGTGTGTCATATACTAAATACATATATTAAATTTCTCTTTAAATGGAGGCGCAAGGACTGGTCAATTTTACGTGCTGTATTTCTCTGTGCGGCCTGCTAAATTTAAAAGTTTGTTTGAATTGACATCTTCCCTCTCTATTTGAACCAAAATATATGATATATGTCTTACTAAATTCGTTTCCTTGATCCGTATACAAGTTACGGAGCCTCGGTTTCTTTTTTTGCTCAGATTTAAGGAACGCACCCTTTCACCGGGAAAAATTCGGTTCATAACTTACAGCTAGGACCTCAAACTCGGTTAGTAAGAGGTATGCTGTTCTCATAAATTTACCTCGATATTTGCGAGAGTGTACTTCCTTTCTTTGTCCCAGGGAGGAGATTCTTGGTCAAACATGGCACACAGATGATCTGCCATTCTACAAAAACGAAACGACCACTGTAATCAACAGCACTGACAGACGTTCAATAAACAGAAGATTACTTGATTTAGATAAAAAGACCATAATTATGATCATTCCAGAACAAAATGCGAATGAGAGCAGTTTTCAATTGACTGTTGATAAACCAAAACCAAATCAGTACGTCCAATTGTAACGAAGAAAAACATCATCGTTAGCCAATCAGAACTCATAATTAAAACAAGGAAACGGCTAAAAGCGCGGGAAAACGCGGATGACCAAGCCACGATCGGTATTCGTTTTATGTCTAGACCAATCAAAGAGCGAGGTAAAGCACAGACAATATTTACCTTTGATACTCGATTGAAAATTGCTCTTATAATTCATTTTGTTTTGTGAAGTATTTTTCTTCCCATTTTCGAGCGTTAGCCCTTCGTCAATGGCTCTGACGGAGGACTATCGCTCGAAACGTCCGCTTTATAGCTCTTAACGGTGGCCAATTTACGTTATCAACTCAGTTGATAATACTAAATTACCCTACGCAACACTCACCTGTCATTCTCATTAAATGAAGATATCAGGTCGGTCTCTTCAAACTCAGGATAAACAAACATGACTGGCCAGTGAAGTACACCACTACTGTCCAAAGAGACCTTGATGTCCAGTCCCCCATCGGTCATGGGCCTCAACAGGTCATCCTCATGCTCCAAAGTGACTCCTCGGGCCTAGGGAAAAAAGTTAATTTAACCCTTTAACTCTCAAAAGTTGCCAAGACAATTTCTCTTCCCAATATTAATACAATATCAAGCAGACAAGTGATAAGAATAAACGAAAAAATCAATCAATCAACCAAATTCTCTAAAATTAAAACCTTTAGTGTTTCCTAACGAGTTACATTACATGTACTTAACTTCTTTAAGTGATTAACAAATAACTTCTCCCTATAATATTGATACATCATCCAGCAAACAAGTAAGGAGAACACTCAAACTCATCAAAAAAAATCCTATCTCCTACCACTAATAAGTTGAACAAGACACCTTAACTGCTGATTTCAAAGCCTCTGCCACAGATCTTTCTTTCTTTTCCTTTAACACTGCTTTTCGTTGATCTCTCAGCACCCTTTTCTGTTCTGCAACAGCCTTTTTCCTTAAATCCAAAAGCCTTTGGTTTTGAGCTTCAATCTTATTAAAGTCAAAGATATTTGTACTAGCAGATGCATCAGGAATTCAAATAGTCTGTAATAACTAGTCTAGCTATCAGGGAAAGGTTTTCCATGGTCTGTGTAAAAAATCCATTTACCAAAAAGAAAAATTTCTCCATAAGAAATATGAATTAAACTTGTTAAATGAACCACAACATTTGGCTGAAATAAAAACTCTGAAGCTTCTTAAAATTGCAAACAAAGGAGTAACAAATTCACATGAATGAAAGCTCAAAAACAACCATCTAAAACTCTGAGAAAACAAACTTAAAGTATGCAAAAAATGTCCACATTAGTTTTCCAAAGTAAAAGTTTGAGTTCTTTGACATGATTGGCTAATTTGTGAAATCAGGTGAGCCACACATGAATACAAAAAGAATAATTATGAAAGGGGGAGAGAAAGAGAAAAATTATTACTTGGAATTTAAAAGCAAAAGATTTTCTACAGTCTGGTCATTATCAGCACCAGACCATTTGCAGACCTCTTTATGGCTTCTGTTGCTTAAGGCCTCCATTATTTTCCTGTGGGCGAAGACACAATGGTGCCAAAGGGCTCTTAATGAAGGCCTTCTCACAGGCTCCAAGAGCTTCTGTGGTGCCAAAGGGCTGATAATGAAGGCCTTCTCGCAGGCTCCAAGGGCCCCTTTGGTGTCAAAGGGCTCATAATGAAGGCCTTCTAACAGGTTCTATGAGATGCAAAACTTGGGCATGCTGTCAAAGAAATAGCAGCTAATAAGTGTTAAAAAGATGTAAAAGGATACAGCTAATCCCTCATCACACCATTTTACAGCATCTTCAAATTTTTGAAGCTCCACGCAAGCAGTGGCACCTACAAAGTAAGTGACATATCATGTCAGTTTTAAATCCAAGTGGCTTACCTGGCCAAAGCCTAATAAACCTGTTTCTGTAGAATGAAGCAACTAAATATTTAAACATGCTGCTCAATTTTATTTCCCTTTGTTGACCCTTCAGATCCTTGTAAGATTTGATTGTTAATTCTTCCCTTTAGTTGCTACACATCTCCTTGTAAATTAGTTACAAGAATTAAGTGTAAGACCAAGAAAAAATTCCTACCTGATAAGTTTGAGTATTTTCGTTACCTGTTTGCTGGATAATGTATGGATGTTATAAGGAGAGGTTAAATCTAAGTCACTTCTGAGAGTTTAAAGGTTATTTCAAGATAAAGGAAAAAATCAAACTAGTTTGAAAAATTTTAGCGCCCCTACATGTGCATGTACACCTATGTACTTACCCCTAATTAAAGCCTTCATGTAAGTTGGTTCTAGCTTCTTCGCAGCTGTGGCATCATTAAGGGCACTACGATTATTTCCTGTCAAAAGAAATTAAGGACTCCAGTTTTAATCTTATGTGGAGATGTGGAATTCGTTCTTTAGACTTGTTTATTTGCAAAAACCTTGAGTCTTTGTGTTCTAGTGAGCTTAAAAAAACCTACAAAATGAAGAAATACGGACAATACTTACGAAAGTGTTTTTAATAGAAATGATGATTTACATATAAATCATTACAATTGTCAGTGCTGTCATCATCATTATTAATATCATCATCAATATTACCATCATTATCATTATTATTATCATTATTATTACTATTCACCAAAGTAGTGGTGGCTAGTGGTGAATACTTACATTTACGAAGCCTCAAAGCAGTGAGATAAATATCCACCACTGGCTATCAATACCGAGGTGAATGGGTCAAAAAGGTCTGTTTCAATTTGCTGGCAACAATTGTAGGCATATCAATACTAACCCAGACATATTTGTGCTGTTGCTCTGTTTGTGTAGAGGATGGCATTGAGATGAGCATCATCACATTTCACCTTGATTCCCTCAGTATATGCAGCAATCGCTTCCTTGAATTTTTTTCTGTTGTACTCATAGTTACCATCTTCTTTGTATGCTTCTGCTCTTGCTGTAAATAAAGCTTATATTAACTCTGTGTCATGCACTCTTGAACTAATACCCTTTACTCCCAAGATCTCAATTGGTAATTCTCCTTACTGTCTACCATACAATTTTTATTATGTTTGTTTGGAGATTTTGGTATTTTATCAATGAAATAATAATCCCCTAATTCATATATTTCTGTAACCTCATCACTCATCCACTTGATAATGTAGGGAGAAATTATCCCTTGGTCATTTATAGGAGTTAAAGGGCTAACTCTCAAGATCATTAATTCTTTTCACTGTTTTTAATATACATTCCTGATAATTTTTCAGCTCTCAGAACCAAGTGCTAAATCATACAGTATGCCCCAGGTGGTTTATATCTCTCTTTCTTCTTAGCATGATTCTGCTTGAACATTAATTGATATTTTGGGATGCAAAAACTCATGGGCTTACCCATTTGCACCCTAAGAATGACCAGCATCTAATTTCTCCAAGCAGTCATGCTGCTGAATTATTCATTGAGATTATGAGAGTAAAGGAAATGATTGCCAACCTGAGGAGCTTTGATTGTTAAACAGATTCTCCTTGTTAGTACCAAGGGAAATATAAAGAGAAGAGTAAGGAGAATATGGATACTGATGTTAGGGTGTGAAGGGTTAGCTTGGGATTAAAAGAGTCAACAAGTAAAATAAGAGTGGTTCATATTTATTCTCAGTTAAAATTTCATTGTCCTTTGTTTCTAACTTGCTACATGGTCAAGAATAAACTTGCATTAAAAATTATTTTGTCAAATTTTAGTTTTCCTTTTTTTATACCTGATTCATATACACTGAAGGTAACAACATGATTACCAGTGCAGTTTGGTTTTAATGAGTACAATCAAGTAATTTTTCAAAGACAACAAAATTACATGAACGTGTAAGGCAAATACATTAGGTAGTCTTTGAAAAATTTAAGTGCTTATTAATTTTTACACCAAATTGCACAAAAATCACGTTGCTAATTGTTAATAATTTACATGAAAAATGAATCACAGAAAGTCAAGACGGACTAAATTTTTGCAATATGTGTGCTACTTGTAATTTGCACCAATGTTACAACTTTATACTTGTGTTACAATTTTGCACTCAAATTACATGAAAAATGCACTCATTTTTCACCATTCAGACGCACATGATTTTTCCAAGTACATCATTATTTAATAAATACTTCATGCTTACCTACAGGGTCTTCGTCTTCATATTTCATAGCTTGAAGGGCTGCTAAGGCTGGGTTGTTATCTATTTCTTCCTGTGTAGGAGTTTTTGTCATAAAAGCAGGTGTTTTCTCAAATTCCTAAAACAAGACAGAGAGTGAGTGTCACAATATTTGAGAAAGCTTTGGGGACTGCATCATCTCCCGTACACTGCCTATGATTTTGGTTTTGAAAATAAATTGATGTGAAATTTCTTCACTCTCATTATTCTGTCTTCTCACAATCTTTTTGTCTGAAACTGTACTGACATTGCAAGGAGAAATTCCTTGTGGGTCATTCCTGAGACTGAAAAGGTTAACCCCTTTGACTCCCACAAGTGATCAAAATGTAACTTCTCCTTACAATTCTAATAAGTTATCTTGTTAACTGGTTACAAGAACAGACAAGCTTATCAGCTCTAAGGTGTTACTTTGGAATAAGACCAAATTCTCCTGCCTAATTACTGTACGTGTGACAAGGAAATGAACATCAGTCAGTGGGGAAAATTACCAGTCTGATCTTGGGAGTGGAACGGTTAAAAGAAACGTGATAGATTTTCTTGTATCATCTGATGATGTCACTAATATGTTTGCTGATGTCTTCCCCACCACTCCAACCTGCGGCTGGCTAACAGCTGACCACTACATGTGTATCGGACATTCATGCCCGACGAGGATTGATCTCTCACTCTGGAGGAATAGTTTCCAGAGCCTGAAAGCGTTCATTTCTGAGAGTATCTGCCTGATATCACAAAAAATCAAACTTGCATGTTATCTTTGGTTCTTCGATTTCCATGATTCGATCGTAGAAAACCATCGGTACACAATACCGAGCTGAGTGAACACGTGTGAGTTAGTTCGGCAAGTTTTCATGCCTATCAACAATCATACCTCTTCCCAATTTTCTTCTGTGAAAGTGATGACACGCTTTTTACCACTGGACCTCTCTTTCATGAATTCATCGATTTCCTCGTCGAGTTCAGCGGCTGTCTTTGTCGCTGTTACTGTTTTGTCTGCCATGTTGGGAACTCGAGAAAGAAATCTTACAGGCGCCTACCTGATAAAAGAACAACCGAGGAGAGGAGCTCCGAGGAGTACTAAGGAACGGAGACTAGTTCCTAGTACTCCTCCTTCCTCTTCAACAGATTCGATTGATTGGTATTGGTAACGACAGCTCTTCTATGTCATGCGCAATGATTCTACGCGGGAAAACCAAAATGGCGCCCACGTAATTCTCTCTTCTTGGTTTCGCTGGTCATTATATTCGGTATCCAATCTCTTTTAGACATATGTATGGAGAGAGAGTAGGAACCGAATATTTTAAATCAGTTTCCATGTGAGGAATACATACGATAGAATGAATCAGGGAGCTAAGATACTTAGTGCGTTGTCTCGCATCGGCTATCCTAAGGCAAATCAATTTGAAGGAGACAGTTTGGAATGGCTGTTCGATTGCGAATCAATCGTTCCATTCCTGGAATGGTTTTTTGAAAATATACACGAGTCAAATGTGGTATCTCTTGAAGATCTTAAGAGGTGAGAGAAACAGAGACTTAAGAGTCGTTTCGCTAATGACTACAGTAGTTTGCTACTCTCGAGTCTTACAGCTGTACATGTAGGTCGTTTCCCTAAAGTCTCAGGGCAGTTCGTTAATGTCTCGTTGGTTGTTTCGTTGAGACGTCGACGAATCGATCTCATACGTTAGCGAACTAGCTGTTAGCGAAACAACCGCAATTCGTATTAAGAGTGTCTATACATATACCTCTTAATTGTTACTATTGTGCCCAGAAACACTCAACGCTCAATCAACCTGTGGAAAAAGGAAAACAACAGTAACAAAGATAACAACAACCTTAAGGGATACCAGGGTGATATTGTAAGGAAGAATTAGATACTAACCTCTCATAAAGGTCAAAGGGGAAAGAAGTATGTAACTAAATTGAATCCATTATTTTACAGATTTGATGAACTGCAGTCATCTGGTGCACATATTCTCGAGGTTGGTTGTTTTCCACTCTACCACATGTATGTACCACTATCTACTCATACATGTAAAAGCTTGTATAGCTGTTGGTAAGATAGCCTCCATAAAACTCCAAAGGAATCAATACAACTGAAGGGGATGAACGTATTACCATAGTCTTTACTGTAATTTCAAAACAGAATAGAAAACTACATACTCACCATGGGTATTTTGTTAAGTAGTTCACACAATTTATATTTTTTTAGAGTGATCAAGTTGAAAAGACTTTGTCAATATTGTTGCATGAGGAAGAAGAGTTTTCTGGTGAAACATTGAGGTAAAGTGTACATCCCCAATCCATTTGCCAGCACTGTTGTATTATTACTATTATCATGTATTGATTTAACCATACAATAAGCACACTTAATTTCTTTTTGATGTTACATTGAGAGGTGCCAATGCCAGTAATTTATTATATGGATTACATGGCATATATATTATTAACCAAATGTGAGGTCAAGATGGCTGGATATTGGCAGAGTTCTTTTTTTGCATTTTTAAGGACTGAGACAAAATTGAGGTCCATGAAGATGCACAAGAAGTATGAGGCTGATATCCAGCCATCTTGACCAACCAAGTTTGGTTATAAGTTTTTTTCGCTGCACAGGATCAAAGTGGGCAATCGTAAGGGAGCAAGATGACCCCATCTGGCTCCCTTGGATAGCCAATCAGAACACAGGATTGGCTTCATACTGCCCAAGGGGTGCTTTCAGCAACATATTAATAAATATTCTTTCATATTTCCCTTTTATAGCTTAGCCTGCTTGTTTGATTTTTGCATTGATACCTTTTTTGCTAATAGTATTGTCACGATTATTAATTGTGGCATTTTACATTTTGTACTGGCAGAAATGAGGTTGACTTGCTAGGGAAAGAGGTTCAAACGACAAAACAGAGACTACAAAAAATAGTTTCACAAAGGAATAAATTAAGGTAAGAAGCTATTTCAATGCAGTTAAGTGCAATTTAACTGAGTTAACAACAAAGAGCATTAGCGTTCTCAAGTAGTCAGTGGGTTTTTTGCATATGAGCATGCATTGGAATTCCATGGGCTCTTCTTTGAGACGTTCTTACGTGTGCTTTTAGCAAGAAGTTGTTTGTTGTGATAAGTGGCAGCTCCTGGATGTTCCAGGCACCCAACCTCCACTAACATGCTTGCAAAAAAATTGTATATACGCGTCTGACTACCCTGCGTCGGAGCACATGAAATTAGTCTGCGCAGTTAATGTATACAAGAGCGATACTGTAGCAATGCAGTTGTTAATTGATAACTATTTGTTTTTAAATACCAAACAACTCATATAACTAACCTATTTCTTTCTGTATTTTAAGATAACAGGACAGACATTCCCTCTTTCCAAGCTTAGTTTATTGTACCAGTCAAAAGTAATCAGCAAAAAATGATTGCATGAATTGAATAAAAAACTTTTCTAATCACTGTTTTTGTTTATGCAACATGTTTTCACCCAAACAACAGATAAAGTTTGAAAAGAGGATCTTGCTAGGAGTTTGTTAAATTCTAGACTACAGTGTTATACACTATAGTACTGAAATGGGAAAGTTATCAGTACAAGAATGTTTGAAATTTCTAATTTTCTTCTCACACTGCATCCATTCAGCCAACTTGTTTCCTTCAGTAAGGTCATGCAGTTCTAGGCTTTTTTTCAGATTTGTCCCTGTTGATTTTGTCTTCTCTCTTTCAACTGTTTACTGTCGTACATTCAATTAGCATTTTCTAAAGCTAATATTTTGCAACCCATCCATGTAAAACAATGGGTATCCACACTGTAACAGTACATTTTTGTCAAGCCAACAATTTATGCTTTTGTACCTTTTCAGTCTTCATCATGCAGGTTTGACTCATAAACTTTCCAAACTGAGTGGTGTTGTTCAGGAACATAAACAAAAATACAAGAGCAGCCTTGAGTCCAGTCAAGCAGACAATACTCAGGTACATGTCAAAAAAATATTTTGTTTTGAAACCATTTATTTGTTTCAATTATCAGTGTATTCCATCAAACTAAAACTTCTTCTTGTTTTGCTTCTTGAGGCCTGTCTACAAAAGTATGGTAAACTTAAGATACTGAGGTAATAATATTCAATTTCTCTATTTTTCCTTAAATCTTCAGATGAACTCCAGTTTGAAGCAGTTGGAACAATCTGTTTCACAGATGGTAGCATTGTATGGGGGAGAAGAAGGTGAGCCATCAGACATGTAGATTGTAGACTGTAAGTAAGCACATGCATGTCACCCCTTGTGAAACTAAATTGATTATCCATAAATCATGTGCATCATACGTACCTTTTTTTCTTTTGTAAATCTTGCATGTACAGTGTGGATGGTCACGCAAATTTTTGAAATTATTTCCTCATTCTAGGTGGGAATGATTCGGCTCCATTTTTATCACAGTTGCCCTATAACAGTTACTTCACATCTGAGGAAAGATTTACTGGAGAACTAACTGCTTATACCAGAAAACAGTTCTTTGAGGTAAAATGAAAGTACAAGAGAAACGGCAACCATCAAAAATTGAGTGTAATTAACCCTTCAACTACCAAGATCTCATCTGTACATAAATTATAATCCTCCTTGCTGTCTGCCATACAGTTCTTATGATGTTGTATGTAGTTCAGAGAATTTGGTATTGGATCAACTAATTTAAATCCCTTGATTTATATTTTTCTTTATTCTCATCACTTGTCTGTTGTAGAATGTATTGATGATGCACAGGATAAATTTTGTCATGTCCCACTCGTGGCCAGCTCTTCTTAGCATTTTATACAGCTGTGATCATGTATATGGGTATAATTAACCAGACATAATACAGCTTATCCTTAGTTTGAGGTCAAAGTTACTCAGCTTTCAGATATTTGCTTTGAAAGGGCTGAACATGCTATAATTTAATTGTTTCCAGGGAATTGCTGAGATGGCTGGAGGACAAGAGAGATCAAGATATGAATTACTGGAAATAAGTGATCCTTCGACTCTGCTAGTGAGAGGTACAGGGACTGAATCCTACAGTATCTAACTGTCATGTACATACACTGTAGATTTGTGTTGCACAATATTTTTGTATCATTAGTTGTGATGTTCAAAATGTCCCTCTCATACATGTAGACTGAAGTAACTACTCAGGCTAAATTATCCAAGAGGGGAGAAGTGCTGATGTACAGTGTAAATCTTTTATTAACCTACTGCAGCTGTTCTTTTCTAATGTTGACGGGAAAAAAAAACTGATTTCTAACATTGTCCTGACATGCATGTCTGCCCCCTTACCTCTTGTTCTCTTCCCCCTTCATCTCCCTTTTTTTATTCCTACCTTTCTCCAGATTTCCCCTCTTGAATTTAATCTTCCATACAATTTTCCTGAAATATCATTTCTAATTCTCTCAGGTGAGAATAATGAAGTTAACCTTAATGACTGTCAAGAGCTTGCAAGACTGCAATCTGTGTAAGTTTGTATTTAATTCAACCCTTTACACCCAAGCATCAGTATGTATAGTCTCCATACTGTTCTCCATAATTTTCTAAGGTGCTTATAAGGAGAATTTGTTTAACAGTCAAGAACTTCTTTAGTTGCTGATTATTTCCTTTATTCTCATGACCCTAATGTTTGATTCAGGGGTGATGTTGTAAGGAGAAATTAGATGTCAGTCACTGTTAGGGGTTAAAGGGTTAAGTCTTTGACTATTTAGATAGTGCTACTAGGGGATCAATATCAGTATCTCTGCAACTGCCCACCTACCCCTCCCCTAACTCAACAACAGTCAACTGATAACATGTTAGGGTTAATGTTAGGGGAGGGGTAGGTGGGCAGTTGCCCAGATACTGATACTGATCCCAATTAGGTCATGCAAATTTTGCCCAGGGTATAAATAAAATGATTCACTGTACATACAATAAAACCCCTTTATTTCAATTTACATGGATTATAATTATTTTCTGTTTTTCGTGTGGTCGCAGTTATGCCTCAAGTGAAAGTAGAAGAATTCATAATATGGCTACCGCATCAGGA